AGAAAGAAAGAAAGAAAGAGAAATGGGGATCAAAAGTGAAAGAAGAGAGAAAGCCACCCCGAACCAGGCTCATTCCTTTTGAAACTTGACAGATCATATTCCCGCAGCTGCGTCTCTGCCCTGGGGTGAATATGCAAGAATTCCTAAGCTTTCCATCATTCAAACAAATATCTGACATCACCGAGGAAGGCAGAGGAGGGCAGGTTGGGGGGAAAAAAAGGATAATCTCCCACATTGTGCTGCTCACCATTGCATCCCTGAGGTGAGGTTGGCATTTGCCGACTGCATATCCCAGCAGAATGGGCATGACATCAGGGCACGAGGCTGCCAGCGAGTGCTAAGCGCTCATAAATCCCATCTCCAAAACGGAGAGCAAAGCGCTCACTTATCCCTGCACCTCTTTCTGATGTAATGCAGACTGGATTCGACTTGCCCTGAGTGTTATTCTCCTGGTTGTGTGGCCAATGGGGCCTTATGCTTTTGGGAAACTATGGAGCCGCTGCGACACCAGATAATTTTACTCCCCAACTAGCAGCTATTGGGGAACAGAAAGAAAAAGTTTCATTTTGTGGCTCCTCTTTCCATATCTACATCCCTGCCTTGGAAAATAGACTCTATATCAGTATTGACAACTGGAAAATAGAGGGAGAAAATGTGGAGGCCGTGACAGACTTTGTATTTCTAGGCGCAAAGTTCAGACTGCAGATGCAGACTGTGGCCAGGAAATCAGAAGACACTTCCTTCTTGGGAGGAGAGCAATGTCCAATCTCGATAAAATAGTAAAGAGTAGAGACATCACTCTGGCAATGAAGATCCGCCTAGTCAAAGCCATGGTCTTCCCTGTAGTCACCTACGGATGTGAGAGCTGGACCTTAGGGAAGGCTGAGCAAAGGAAGATCGATGCTTTTGAGCTGTGGTGTTGGAGGAAAGTTCTGAGAGTGCCTTGGACGGCGAGAAGATCCAACCAGTCCATCCTGGAGGGAAAGATACTAGAGACAAAATTGAAGTACTTTGGCCACATCATGAGGAGACAGCAAAGCCTAGAGAAGACAATGATGCTGGGGAAAGTGGAAAGCAAAAGGAAGAGGGGCCGACCAAGGGCAAGATGGATGGATGGCATCCTTGAAGTGACTGGACTGACCTTGAAGGAGCTGGGGGTGGTGACGGCCGACAGGGAGCTCTGGCGTGGGCTGGTCCATGAGGTCACGAAGAGTCGGAGACGACTGAACGAATGAACAACAACAACATCAGTATCAGGATGCAAACAATAAGATCTGGGTTGTTGTAGTTTTTTTCGGGCTATATGGCGATGCTCTAGAACAGTGTTTCTCAACCTGGAGGTCGGGACCCCTGGGGGGGTCACGATGGGGTGTCGGAGGGGTCGCCAAAGACCATCAGGATACACAGTATTTTCTGCTGGTCATGGGAGTTCTGTGTAGGAAGTCTGGCCCAATTCTATTGTTGGTGGGGCTCAGAATGCTCTCTGATTGTAGGTGAACTATAAATCCCAAATGTCAAGGTCTATTTCCCCCAAACTCCAACAGTGTTCACATTTGGGCATATTGAGTATTCGTGCCAAGTTTAGTCCAGATCTATCATTGTTTCAGTCCACAGCGCTTTCTGGAGATAGGTGAACTACAACTCCCTAACTCAAGGCCAATGCTCACCTAACCCTTTCATTATTTTTTACTGGTCATGGGCGTTCTGTGTGCCAAGTTTGGGTCAATTCCATCTCTGGTGGAGTTCAGAATGCTCTTTGATTGTAGGTGAACTATAAATCCCACCAACTACAACTCCCAAATGTCAAGGTATATTTCCTCCAAACTCCAACAGTGTTCACATTTGGGTATATTGAGTATTCGTGCCAAGTTTAGTCCAGATCTATCATTGTTTCAGTCCACAGTGCTTTTTGGAGATAGGTGAACTACAACTCCCTAACTCAAGGCCAATGCTCACCTTACTCTTTCATTATTTTTTGCTGGTCATGGGTTCTGTGTGCCAAGTTTGGGTCAATTCCATCGTTGGTGGAGTTCAGAATGCTCTTTGATTGTAGGTGAACTGTAAATCCCAGGAACTACAACTCCCAAGATCCAGAGAATGAGAATGCATCCTGCCTATCAGATATTTAGTTACATGACAATTTGTAACAGTAGCAAAATTCCAGTTAAGAAGTAGCAACGAAAATAATTTTAGGGTTGGGGGGTCACCACAACATGAGGAACTGTATTAAGAGGTCGCGGCATTAGGAAGGTTGAGAAACACTGTTCTAGAGGCATTCTCTCCTATGTTTTGCCTGCATCTATGGCAAGCATCCTCAGACTTAGTGAGGTCCCTGAGGATGCTTGCCATAGATGCAGGCGAAACGTCAGGAGAGAATGCCTCTAAACCATGGCCATATAGCCCGAAAAAACCTACAACAACCCAGTGATTCTGGCCATGAAAGCCTTCGACAATACAATAAGATCTGGGTTGCTCTATTAAGTCCATACTTCAGGAAATAAAGCCCAACTGCTCATTGGAGGGAAGGAGATTTTAGGCAAAGATGAAGTCCTTTGGCCACATCTTGAGAAGACAGGAAAGCTTGGAGAAGAGAATGATGCTGGGGAAAGTGGAAGGGGGAAGGAAGAGGGGCCAAGCAAGGGCAAGATGGATGGATGGTGTCCTTGAAGTGACCAGCTTGACCTTGAAGGAGCTGGGGGTGGTGACAGCCGACAGGGAGCTCTGGCATGGGCTGGTCCATGAGGTCACGTAGAGTCGGAAGCGACTGAACGAATAAACAACAACAACATTAAGGCTTGACTCTGGTGCATTTGAGAGCATAATGTGCTTGCTTGACCTTGAAGAGAGATGTTGACTCTAAGATGGAAGGATTAGCTTTGAGCAGTGGCACTCAACCTGTGGCTCTCCGGATGTTTTGGCCTTCAACACCCAGAAACCCTAATAGCTGGTAAACTAGCTGGGATTTTTGTAGACCAAAACACCTGGGGACCCACAGGTTGAGGACCACTGGGTTTGGGTAACCAAGGCAAAGACAACTTTTATCAGGGGTAAAGGATATGGTTCCTTCTCTACACAACTCTTTTGGGGTCTAATTTATCATAAAACACTATTTTAGGATCCTCCAGAAAGATTGGAAAACCTTCTGTGGACTTCTCTGAACAGCTAAGACCAAAGGTAATCTGCATTTGCCCTCAAGTGCATCATTATTGCAAACACATCCGACCTCTTGGAAGACTTCTAGGGGGTCTTCAGGTTCTGTAGGCAAGGTGATTCTCAGCCTTTGACCCTTGAGATGTTTTGGACATCATACAGGTTTGTCAGTCAAGTATGGCCAAAAGCCAAGTGTTATGGGAGATGTAGTCTAAAATAACCAAAGGACCAATGGGTGACCTATTGCTGAAGCATACACTAGAAAGCTAGGATGAAGCAGAGATATTTTGAACTTCCTCTATGTGCTGAACAAAGAGCCAATTATGTGGCTTACATCAACTTGATTGGTCCCAGTGAGAGGAACCAGTTCTCTCAACCTTATCCAAATTTGAAAAATTATTTCCCATGCCAATAATTTTAACTGCTTGATTGCATTACCAACCAAAGAAAGTGAGATAGTTTCTTGGGAAGCTGAAATTATAGGATCTCCCAAGCTGAGATCTGAAACATTTTCTTCAAAAATGTGACTTTATTGGGGGGAAATTTACCAAATTACAAAGATTTTAGTTGTATAGGTACTGAAGGCATGCCTGCCAGGGATGTCTCATGAGAAAACAGCACTCAGGGGTGATGTAGGAATAGCATCTGGAAGCTCTAGTTTGAGGATGGATCATTGACCAATATGTGTCCACACTACTCAGTCAAAAGCCTTTTGACACCACTTTGACTGCTGTGGCTTCATCCCCATGAAACTATGAGATGTATAGTTTTGTGAGATGCCTTACATTTTCAGCCTGAGAGCCTCAATGCTTCAGTTCATGGGAATGGATGAGAGAATTCTAAGTACCAACATACTGCAAACCCTGGGGTCCTGAAGAATGGAGTTGTGGCAGGTAAAGTGATGCCAAGTGATGAGAATTCTAAGTACCACCACACTACAAACCCTGGGATTCTGAAGAATGGAGCTGTGGCAGGTAAAGTGATGTCAAAGTGGGGTGTGTGGATATGCTCCAGAAGCCTCCCTGGGCAGTGGTGGTGGTGGCCCCAAGAAGTGTGCATTCAACATTTTATGTCACATATTGTATGATTGGGTTGAGGAGTCAGGACTACTGCATTACAACATTGTTTGAACTCTGTAGTAAGCAACAGCAGCCATTTTGTCCCCAGGAGATATCTACTGAAGTCTCAATGCCATACACTTTTCTGAGCAGCCCATGCTTCCTATGTGTGAAACCCAATTCCTATGGGCTTCTGGTTTGGTACAAAGTGGGGGCAATGAGCCAAGTCTTACCTTCACAGCCCACTGATCTGGTTTAGCACCCTGAACCAATGCAAGATGCCATACAAGATTGACCATATCTCCTTTTCTCATGGCAGAAGCACCGTTTTAATCTTTGCTTCCTATGTTTATGTTACAAACCAGTATGTCACCCTGTTCAGGATCAGGATAAAGGGCCATTCCACAGAACGCAAAGAATACATTTGCCAGGTCTTCCAGAAGTTGCAATGAGGGCATCTGAAGAACACCAACCAGTTGTTAATTCTATACATAGAAACTTAGCAGTCAAGATAACAGGCCGGGTTGATTCCTGTAAGAGTCATTGACCAAAAAGCATTCTCTGTCCTTCTAATGCATAAGAATTAGGCCATGTTTGGGGAAGATCCACAACTTTCAAAAGGACACTTGAGAGCACGAGTCTCGCCGTACATTTTGAGCAAGGAAAAAGCAGATTGAGGGGGTCTCGGGAAACCAGTTAGTCATCCATTCCTCAAGTCTAGATTGTGGACAACAGCACCCAACCCTCCACAATCCCATGACCATGGATGGTTGCTTGGTTGCTCATCATGGTGGACTTCCAGAAGTGAGAGCCAAGAAGAAATAAATTTGATATATTTGAGCCCACCAGTTTTAGCTTCTGGATACGTGCACATTTGTGTTTACTTCCAGTCTCCATTCAGTCTCGAGGTTGAGCTTCTGACAAAGCAAAAGGTCTCCCCTTTTACTTGCACGTGTGGACATCATAGATCCGTATGCACTCCTGGCAGCTGACGTAGCAGCACCAGTGGAAGATGCAGTGGCACTTCTCTTTCCGCTTCTCAGTCCGCGTGTTGTGGCCTCGGCCACAGCACAAGAGGTCGCAGCCGTCGATCCCGTGTGAGGTGACATTGCAGATCCGGTCACGGGTACCGAAGGAACCGGTTTCCGGGTTCGGCTCACAGAAGTTGGGCGAGTTCTCATAGTAGACCAAATCTCTCTCGGTGGGGGCTTTGAAGAAGTTGTATTTCGGCCGCAGTGTCTCGACCCAGCCACGGGACTCCCGGTGCTTCTCCACCACCATCTCCGAGGCGCTGTCGTATTTGTCCTTGAGGTAGTCACCGATGACCCGGAAGTCGGGTTGCGACCACCAGCAGGTCTTCACTTCGCAGCTGCCCGACAATCCATGGCACTTGCATTTCAGGTGCATGTGCTCAATGATGGACTGGAAACAAAAGGAAGGCAGAAGACACCATTAGGTTGATAGGCAAGAAAATGCAGAAAAGAAGCATTTGGAAACAGTTTAGGCATCCAAAGAAAAGGATGGGCAAAGAGAACAAAGGAATGCAAAGCCATGGCACAATGCAATGGAATCATGGGAGTTGCAGTTTTACAATAATAATAATAATAATAATAATAATAATAATAATAATAATAATAATACTTTATACCCCACTACCATCTACTCATGAGGCTTACAAGAGGCCGAGCCCACAATACATCAATACAAGCAATAACAGACACAATACAAAGCAATTAAAATAAATCTCATACACAAACAAGGTACAGTGCACATTTAAAATCTATGGCTGGGCCAAAGGTAATTGAAGTTTAAAAAATAATGCTAGGCATGAACAAGATAGAGGAGGTGGGGCGTTGGTGGAAACATACAAGTAGTCCTAAATCAGTATAAAGTGCTTTTGGAGGACATAATGCTAAGGGTTCATTATTCTGGGAAGGCACACTGGAACAACCACGTTTTCAAGCTTCTCCTAAAGACTGCCAGAGATGGGGCATGCCTGATGTCCTTAGGGAGTGAGTTTCAGAGTTGAGGGGCCACCACCGAGAAGGCCCTCTCTCTCGTCCCCACCAATTGTACTTGCGATGCAGGTGGGAGCGTGAGTAGGGCCTCTCCAGATGATCAAAGATGATCAAAGAGATCGTATGGGTTCATACATAGGAATGGCACAAGGATTATGAGACCGGATCTGATTTCTCTGAGGTGCTATGTTTGTTTTATGTTGTTTGTTAATTGTTGTGGATTGATGTGTTGATCCTGTTGTTACATTTGTTGTGTTTTTAATTGCACTGACATTGTTGTGATAATTTGTACCATGTAAACCGCATTGAGTCGCCTGTTTGGGCTGAAAAATGCGGTATAGAAATAAAGCAAATAATAATAATAATAATAATAATAATAATACACAGAAATGCGGTCACGCACGTAGACAGGTCCCAAACCGTTCAGGGCTTTGTAGGTAAGAACCTGCACCTTGAATTGGGTCTAGAAAATGAATGGCATTTTACAAGATCTTTAGCATTCTCCTTCAAAGAATGTGGGTGTTCCACCAAACTACATCTCCCAGGATTCCACAGCATTGAGTCAGGGCAGCTTGAATGATGTCACGCTGCATTAATTCTACAGTGCATCTACAATGCATCTCACTTAGTTCACCAAGTTGCATTCAACCGAAGCCATGAAACATGAGACAGGTCAAACAATAAATGATAGCGTAATTTCATAGGCAGCTGACTCATCTAAAGCTTTGATTGACTTATTGATGGCAGGCCAGTTTTAGGTATTGGAACTAGGACTTCCATTATTTTAGGCTCTTCAGTGTTTTTGTTCAATGGAACAAAATGGTTGAAGATGGCTTTCCTTGGGTGCATCCACACTGTGGAATGAATGCCATTTGACACCACTTGGACTGCCATGGCTCAGTGCTATTGAATCCTAGGAGTTGTAGTTTTAGAAGGTCTTTCGTTTTCTTTGCCAAATTGTGCTGGTGCCTCACCAAGTTGCAACTCCTAGGACCCCACAGCATTAAGTCATAGCAGTTCAAGTGGTGTCCCTTTGGGGAGATAGGGCGGTATTTATTTACTTATTTACTATATTTATATACCGCTTTTCTCAGCCCATGGGCGACTCAAAGCAGTTTATAGTAGCAAAATTCAATGCTCAAAAACATCATAAAACATTCAAAACAATTAAAAACAATGGCATAAATATACGATCATTACAAAGTCAATAAAACATGACTCATTAGCATCTCTTAGTTAAAATCAAGATCCAATCTCATCATCCAATCGTTCCATATTTCTGTGTTTGTTACACTGGCTTTTCAAATGCCTTCTCAAACAACCAGGTCTTAATTTTCCTCCAGAATGCTAACAAAAAGGGGCCAATCTAATGTCTCTAGGAAGGGCGTTCCAGAGCTGAGAGGCCACCACTGAGAAGACCCTGTCTCTTGTCTCTGCCAAACGTATTTGTGACGCAGGTGGGATCAAGAGCAGGGCCTCCCCAGATAATCTTAACGTCCTAGCTGGTTCATAGGAGGAGATGCGTTTGGACAGGTAGGTTGGACCAGAACCGTTTAGGGCTTTATAGGCTAATGCCAGCACTTTGAATTGTGCCCGTTAGCAGACTGGCAGCCAGTGGAGCTGGCGCAACAGAGGAGTTGTATGCTCCCTGAGTGCCACTCCCATTAGTAACCTGACTGCTGTCTGTTGGACCATTTGAAGCTTCCAGACAGTCTTCAAAGTAACCCAACGTAGAGCGCATTGCAGTAGTCTATACAGGATGTAACCAGATTGTGGAGTATCGTTGCCAAGTCAGACTTCCCAAGGTATGAGCACAGCTGGCGCATAAGCATGGCTGTCTACTCTCACCTGACCTATTCAACTTGTATGTAGGACACATCATGCAACGTGCAGGGCTTGATGAATCCGAGGCTGGAGTTATATAAATAAATAAATATAAATAAATAAAGTGTTATTATTATATTATTCTGGGCCTGCTGGGAGCTGAAGTCCAAGACACCCGGAGGACCAAGGGTTGTGAGTCGCTCGTGTAGATGAACCCTATATTGTTCCAAAGGTGTTAGCCTAGTCCCTAAAAGTGTCTCAAGCTTTGAGTTTATATAAGGGGTGAATTTATAAAACACCACTGCTTTCTTTTCTCACCGTCCTTCCAGCTTCGTTGTTGTGCCTGTTCATGGCAGAGCGAGCATCCGGCCTGTTCTCTCTCGCGTCTGCAAACTCCCGGGACACCATGCTTCCAAATTCGACATCCTCGCTGCAGCCGCCCCATTTCCACCCTTCGCCGGGAGGCCCCTTGTGACGAGTGTCGCAGCCGCAGATGGTGGCCGAGCCTTCGGCGCAGGACCGGGTCACCGCAAAAGCCACGCCGGCAGAGGCAATGGCGTGGACAAAGGCCGACTCCCTGGTGGCTGCGGGATGGAGAGGAGAAATATCAATGACTGTCTTGGACAATTATCAGTGACCTGAACAATGAAATAGAAAGCATGCTGATCACATTTGCAGATGACACCAAATTGGGAAGGAGAGTGAACACCCCATAGGATCCAAAATGACCTTAACAGATTGGAGAGCTGGGCCACACATGACACCCTTTACATCCTGGTGAGGTTTGGGGGAGGGTGGACAATAGATGATGGGATTTGTAGTACTTTCCAACACTTCAGATCCCACAGACCAATGCGGCCCCCAACAAAGACCAAACTTGGCACACAGAGCACCCGTGACCCATTCTACATCCTACTGCAGTTTGGAGGAGGATGGCCCATGGATGATGGGACTTGAAGTACCTCCACTCACTCCCCGAGACCACTACGACCCTCATCCAATGACTGATCAAGACCAACATTGGCACACAGAGCCCCCATGACCCTCTCAAAATCCTGGTGCAGATTTGAGGAGGATGGGCCATGGATAATGGGACTTGAAGTAACTTCACTCACTTTCCGAGACCACTGCGAACCTCATCCAATGACTGATCAAGACCAAACTTGGCACACAGAGCCCCCATGACCCATTCTACATCCTGGTGCAGTTTCAATCAGGATGGACGATGGATGATAGGACTTGAAGTACCTCCACTCACCCTCATCTAATGAGCGATCAAGACCAAACTTGGCACACAGAGCCCCCATGACCCATTCTACATCCTGGTGCAGTTTCAAACAGGATGGACGAAGTACCTTCACTCACCCTCATCTAATGAGCGAACAAGACCAAACTTGGCACACAGAGCCCCCATGAGCTAAATCCTGGTGCTGTTTGGAGGATGGATGATGGATGATGGGACTTCAATTACCTCCACTCACTTCCCAAAACTGCTGCAACCCTCATCTAATAACCGATCAAGACTAAACTTGACACACAGAGACCCCATGAGCCACTCTACATCCTGGTGCTGTTTGGAGGAGGATGGACGATGGATGATGGGACTTGCAATACTTTCACTCACTTCCTGAAACCACAGCGACACTCATCCAAATACCATTAAAGACCAAACTTGACACAGAGACCCCCCCATGCCCAACTCAACATTCTGGTGAGGTTTGGGGGAGAACAGACTATGGATGATGGGACTTGCAGTACCTTAACTCACTTTCTGAGACCACTGCGACCCTCATCCAATGACTGATCAAGACCACAGAGCCCCCATGATTCACTCTCCTTCCTGGTACAGTTTGGAGGAGGATGGACCACAGATGATGGGACTCACAGTACCTTCACTAACTTCCTGAGACCACTGCGAGCCATATAAATAACTGATAAAGACCAACCTTGACACACAATTCCTTTCTCAAATAACCTGGGCAGCACCGGGTCCCCAAGCTAGTAGGCAATAAAAATGAAATGCACAGATATAGGATACCACCTGGCTTGAAAACAGTCCATATAAAAGGGATCTGGGAAGCTTAGAAGACCACAAGCTCAACACGAGTCAACAGTGTGATGCGGCAGCTAAAAAGGTCAATACATTCTAGGCTGCATCAATAGAATCGTGTCTAAATTGAGGGAGGTCATTGTCTCACTCTGCTCCACTTTGGTCAGACCTCACCTGGAATAATACTGTGTCTAGTTTTGGGCACCACAAATCAAGAAGGAGATGTACAAGTGGAAAGTGTCCAGAGAACGGTCACCAAAATGGTCATAAATCTCTTTGAAGAGCCTCTTAAGGAGTTGGGGGTGTTTAACCTGGAGAAAAGAAGGCTGAGCGAAGGGAAGGTGATGTGAGAGCCATATGTACATATTTGAAAGGAGGACATATTGAGGGGGGTGGTGGTGGTGAGCTTTCAGCTGCTTTACACACGAAGACACAAGGCAACAGAAAAGAGATTGTATTGTCAAAGGCTTTCATGGCTGGAATCACTGGGTTGTTGTAGGTTTTTCAGGCTATATGGCCATGTTCTAGAAGCATTCTCTCCTGACCTCACAACCTCTGAGGATGCTTGCCATAGAGGCAGGCGAAACGTCAGAAGAGAATGCTTCTAGAACATGTCCATATAGCCCAAAAAAGAGATTCCACTGAAAAGTTGGGAAGAACTTATGGATGATCAGAGCCTTGGTGGAATCTGCTGCTGCCTGGGAGTCTGAATGGCTATCTGTCTAGAGGCCTTTAATTGTGTTTTCCTACATAGCAGAATGGGGTTGCAATGGATGGCTGTGACAGTCTCTTCCAGCTTTAGGATTCTCCAAATTCCTTCAAGACTGGGTCTCGTATTCCAAACTAACCATGTTGCCAAGCCTCAAACTACAAACTGGGTTTCAGATTCTGAATTGTAAACCAGAATTCATCCTACAAATTTGGTTGTTATGGGTCTTCAAATTGACTCCGACTTACAGTGACCCTATCCAGGTCTCCCAATGGGTTTCTGTGGCTGAGCAGGGATTGGATCGCTGGCTTACTAAAACCCTGGTCTATCATTCAAACTATAATACTTTTTTTTGTTGTGTCAGGAGCGACCTGAGAAACTGCAAGTTGCTTCTGGTGTGAGAGAATTGGTCGTCTGCAAGGGCCTTGCCCAGGGGACGCCCGAAGATTTGATGTTTTTATCATCCTTGTGGGAGGCTTCTCTCATGTCCCCGCACGAGGAGCTGGAGCTGACAGAGGGAGCTCATCCACCTCTCCCCGGATCTTCAGTCCTGCCAGCACAGGGGTTTAACCCACTGCACCACTGGGGGCTCCAACTATAATACTGTATTGTTCCCTTATCCATCCCAAGAAGTCCAGCATTTCAGTTTAGCTTCTGTAAGCTTCTCTAAGAGTCACAGCCCTGGCACTTGGAACACAGCAACTACGGCTTGTAGGAAGAGAAGGAGAAGAATCTGGCCATTTGCAAAGGACTTCTTGCCATGAGAAAGAGAGATGGCTCCTTCGCTCACCTTTGCCACCCTGCTGGCTAATAGCATGACGTTCTTTTCGCTTCCCAAAGCTTGCCCCAGGTGGAATATGCTACCAGGAGAACATCTCTCTCTTTCCAAGATGAAGATAAACAGGAGGAAAAGCACGCACTTGTAATGGAAATGAGGGGTTATTAAGGTGCCATATAAAAATGTAAGAGCCTGAGCGGAGATAAGAGGAGAGCCGAGCCGGGTGATGGCCCCAGGGCGTCATGCCTGTGTGTGCTTTTTTGGGGATGAGAGCTTATTTGTCAGCCAGCTTGGGTGGTTCTCCTGGGTCCGCACCGCAGGAGAGACAGGCAGCAGGTCACGACTTGAGAAGGGAGGCCTCATGGAAAGTCAGCTGGAACAGGAGCAAAAAGGATGGGTTGGCCAAAGGAGAAGCCTTACCTACTGGTTATAGGGAGCATTGCTGGCTTGAAGGCGTGCACACACACACACACACACAGAGGCCTAAATACCCCAAAGGCACCAGGTCTCATCTGATCTTGGCAAATAAGTAGAGTTAGTCCTGGCGGTTAGCACTTAGATGGGAGACCAACAAAAGCCAGGAGCTGTAGCTCCCTTTCAAAAGAAGGAATTAGCAATAAACACTGCTTGACTGTGTGGATCATAATAAATTGTGGCAAGTTCTTGGTGGGATGGGCATCCCAAGCCACCTTGTCTCTCTCCTGAGGAATCTGTACAAGGACCAAGTAGCAACAGTCAGAACTGACCACGGAGAACAGACTGGTTCAAGATTGGGAAAGGCGTACGGCAAGGCTGCATACTCTCACCCAACCTTTTTAACTTGTATGCAGAACACATCATGCGAGGATGTGCGGGGCTTGATGAATGCAAAGCTGGGGTGAAAATTGCTGGAAGAAACATTAACAACCTCAGATATGCAGATGACACCACTCTGATGGCCGAAAACGAGGAGGAGCTGAGGAGCCTTCTAATCAAGGTGAAAGAAGAAAGCGCAAAAGCTGGGTTGCAGCTAAACATCAAAAAACCAAGATTATGGCAACAAGAATGATTGACAACTGGAAAATAGAGGGAGAAAATGTGGAGGCCGTGACAGACTTTGTATTTCTAGGTGCAAAGATGACTGCAGATGCAGACTGTGGCCAGGAAATCAGAAGACGCTTCCTTCTTGGGAGGAGAGCAATGTCCACTCTCGATAAAATAGTAAAGAGTAGAGACATCACACTGGCAACCAAGATCCATTGCCTAGTCAAAGCCATGGTATTCCCTGTAGTCACCTACGGATGTGAGAGCTGGACCTTAGGGAAGGCTGAGCGAAGGAAGATCGATGCTTTTGAACTGTGGTGTTGGAGGAAAGTTCTGAGATTGCCTTGGACTGCGAGAAGATCCAACCAGTCCATCCTCCAGGAAATAAAGCCCGACTGCTCATTGGAGGGAAGGATACTAGAGACAAAGTTGAAGTACTTTGGCCACATCATGAGGAGACAGCAAAGCCTAGAGAAGACAATGATGCTGGGGAAAGTGGAAGGCAAAAGAAGAGGGGCTGACCAAGGGCAAGATGGATGGATGGCATCCTTGAAGTGACTGGACTGACCTTGAAAAAGCTGGGGGTGGTGACGGCCGACAGGGAGCTCTGGCGTGAGCTGGTCCATGAGGTCATGAAGAGTCGGAGATGACTGAATGAATGAACAACAACAACAACTGCTTGAAAACCCTATGAAATTTGTGGGGTTACCATAAGTCAACAGGTGACTTGATGGCACACATGTATCCAAGATCTGACTTCAGTCTTTTTGCTCCAGATTTGCAAGCTAGCACTGCCAAAGCACGAAGGAAGGTGACTTTTTGGACTATCACTCCCAGAATCCCCCAGACAGTTATTATTGAGGTGGCAGTTCAAAAACCCTATGAAATTTGTAGGGTTACCATAAGTCGATCAAAGAGACCGATTGATTGATACCATAAGTCAATAGATGACTCAATGGCACACATGTATCTGACTTCGGTCTCTTTGCTCCAAATGCTGCAAGATAGAACTGCCCAAGCATGG